AGCGATTCCCAACCTGTGGTACACGTACCCCTAGGGGTACGCGATAGGTTGTTTAGGGGTACAGAAAAAAGTTAGTTATTATGGCAGAAAAAATAATATATTATGTATCACAAACTAATAGTATTAAAAAATTATTAGGTAAAATATGTTCCTTGCAACAATCACAACTTTATTATACATTTTTTCATTTACTTTTTTTTCTTTAATTTAAAGTTACAATATGTAAAATTAACAATACGGGTACTTACTAAATTTCTTAAATGAGGGGTACAATCTAGAGATATGACATGTCACGGGGTACTCTAATGAAAAATGGTTGGGAACCACTGGTTTAAAATGTTGGTATAGCATTCTATAGACTTAATTTTTAAAGTATTGAGAGTAACTTCTTATCAATAATTGGAAATTAATAATAATGAAATAACAACATTTTAAAAATTTCAGCAATTACACTTATTTACTAAAACTAATGTTTTTGATCTTATTGAAAGATCTTCTTCTGGTGCCATCACAATTAAAATGGAAAATAGAATTACATAAATTAAAATACAACAACAGATACTGAACCAATTTCTAGTGAATATAATACAAAAAACAAACACTGCACAAACGTTTTTCAGGTGCAATGGAACGATTATCATCAGGTAATCGTTCCGTCGTACCTGAAGAACAAGTTGGAAAATGTTTGTACAGTGTTTATTTTTTGTATTATATGCATTGGAAATAGGTTCATTGTCCATTGTTACATATATTCCAGTGTGGAGTAGTTTATATTTTACTAATTAAAATACAATTAGAACATTATAAATTTTTAAATATTAACATTCACAGAATCCTTGGAAAGAATATGCACTCAAAATATCAAACAGCTTAAATTGAATAACATATATTTAAAATATTAATATAATCAAGTTTATAATTTTATCTTACTTTGTACATGTAAATTACAGTATAATGTATTCTTTCCAAGAGTTTTATGAATGTTAAATGTTTAAAAGTTTACAATGTTCCATATAAATGTTGAATGGCCTTGGCACTATATTAATAAATATGACTTTACTGCCTATTTTAGGAAACATTTTCGTACTTGTTTGAGAACATTTTCAGCTTAAATTTTTGAAAATGTGTATTTGTTATCAAGCATGATCAATCGAATGTTTTTTGAAATGTAAATATCTTCATTTCCATGTTTCAGTTTGAACATGATTCTTTTTTAAGCATGCAGTATGAAACTTTTATACTATACACTTGAAAAAGAATTTGGAGATATTTAGATTTCAAAAAACATTCAATTGGTTGGTCTTGATAATGTACTACACCAGGGGTGTCCAACCCGCGGCCCAATAAAGGTTTAAACAAAACCGACAAATGTTTTAATTTTATTATTATTTATTTATTTCAACGTCATAAACTCAGAAAAGACGTTTCACAAAGCCATAAACCTTTATTCATATTTTAATTTTGAGTGGAAATGAAATATTTTCATGTACTTGAAGATGTGTGAATGAGGAAGGATTACTAAATAAAGCTGGAGTTGTGACTCAAAGGATTATAGACCCAAATTTGGTGAAAGGAGAGAAAGGACAAAAGATAAAAAGTTGTCAGAAAGGTTAAATAGTTCTTCTGTTAGGCAAATATTGAGTCTTAATTTTCCAACCTTTCTCACTTCTTTATCTTTTGTCCTTTCTCTTCTTTTTCCGAATTTGGCTCTATAATCCTTTGAGTCAAAACTCCAGCTTTATTTAGTATTCCTTCCAGCGTTGCAAGATTTGGCTACATTGCGCCAAATGTGGCTACTTTTTTTAGTTTAACGTAAAAAAATATCATTTGGCGCTTTGGCTACTTTTGGGGCTACATATCATTTATAAATATATTAGTTGAATAAAAATGCACTTTAAAATGGTGTTTCGTCGCTTTTTATTAATCAGAGACTCAAATAAACCAAATATTTGCGTTTTATCAAATAAATGAATTTATCTATTTCTAAGTAAAAATTGAAAGTGTCTGTAGAAGTAATTTTTTAAAATATCCTGTTTCGTGATAAAGTTTTAATACTTATTATTATAATCTAGACATGTTAATCCTTAAATATACTTGTATATTGGGCCACAAGTATATATTATATATACTTGTGGCCCAAAACTCCTTGACTTCTTCCAATGCGGCCCAGAGAAACAAAAAGGTTGGACACCCCTGTACTACACATTCCATTGTGGATAATTGAAGCTGAAGATGTTCTTAAAAAAAATAAAAACATTTCTGAATAAAAAAAAACTTTTTGGTTTTCTGAAGTAAGCACTAAAGTTATCTTTATTATAATGTTCCAATTGTATTTTTATTTTTATCATTCTATTTTTTATTCTTTTTAAGTGGTGATGAGTACCTGAAGGAAGTCTTTCAATAAGATCAAAAATATCAGTGTTAATAAATACTTGTAATTGTTAGATTTTTAAGGTTATTGTTATTTCAATAATTTTTTTAAAATTCTGATTTGATAAATAAAAATAATAATAAATTTGTCAATACTTTTTACAGGTATGGCTCAAGCACTTGGATCAGATACTCCTTTTACAGCTATATCTGGAAGTGAAANAATAAATAGAATTGAAACGACACTTTGAAATATTTTCCCAATTAAAATGAATAATAATAATATAATACTAAGTTTCAATAAAAATGATAAAATGTAAATTTAATTTTATCATAACGAAATGAATTTCGTTTCTTCTGAGATCGCAGCAATGCGCAACGGGTAAGCTAGTGTTATATAAAGTTAAACAGTTTGAATATAATTTTTAAAATGTTTTGATTAGCTTGAATAGTTCAAAAGAAAAATGTGCTGAAACTTATATATGTTTACATTATCTTTGAAATGTGAATGATACACTATCTGCAAATTGTTTTACAAAGTATCATTAAAATAATAATTATTTTTATAAAAAAAAATAACTGTTGTTAAGGAAAAGAGAATTATTTGGGACTGAAATTTGTAGAATTGTGATATAAGTTGTACAGGTGATGACATCAACTACAGATTTACATTTGAAATAGATCAGCATTTTCAGATTGTAGTTACCCATGTACTTCATGTCTTTACAGAAACTTTGATGATAAATTGTACATGTAAAGTTTTTAAAAAAATTATAAAATACTTTATTTCTGAATAATTTTCATAAATTTTTTTCTTTAGAGATGTCCAAAACAGAAGCTCTTACTCAAGCATTTCGCAAGTCAATTGGAGTAAGAATTAAGTGAGTTATGTTTTCTTATTTATTTAAACTGTGTTTGAAAAACCCAACAGTGACTGAGTGGATAACACCACCAAACACTGGAAAATGGTTGCAGGTTCATGTCTGACCAATAGGCCAGCCATGTGATGTTTTACAGATTATCTGTGTGTGTCTAATACCTAAATAAAGGCTGGGTTCCCATAGAAAGTCCTCTTAGGTGAGACCCTCCCTTGGCAGACTGCCCGTGTGTTTGTTGCCTAAATCATATGTGAATTATAAAATACATCTAAATGCCAAAAAAATCACCAAATGTATATATTTAAACAAAACAAACATTTACTTCTGTTTTAAATGGTCATTTTTAAGTTCAAAGAAAGATCTGCATTTCTTTGAACCTGCCAATTTTATTTATTTATCATATTTCATTTTAGAACTTATTTCCAAATAATAAGTTTTTCACTTATCGTTGACAAAACAGGAAAATGTATTCAAATAATCTATATATATAAAAATGAATGTGTGTGTGTGTGTCTGTCCTTTATGCATTACTACACCGTTTATCTGATTGCCGTGAAACTTTGGGAAGTTGTTTAATATACTCCGGCGAAGGTTTGTGGCATAGTACGATTGCCATAGAACTTTTGGAAAGTTTTTTAATTCACTCCCACGAAGTACATTTATCCTACGATAGATGGCGCGCGTTTACACGAGCATTCGAACACTGTGTTAGATCAATTTCAAATTGTGAAGACCATTTCTCCCCCTTCAAAAAATATCTCTATATATGAATTTGTGAACTGTTATTTACGATATTTGTAATAATTTTTGTTTAATCACTTTATTTCAACTATTTTTTGCTAATTATGTATTCGCTCGAACTTTGTTAAAACCTTAACCGTATTCCGAACAACAACCAAAGTTGTAGGAGGAAATTTGCCTATTTTACCGATCTACGGATCCCCCTTTCCCAAATTTTAATATCAACTCAAAATAATTTAAAAAGACAAATTACAATAAAACGGTTTATTATTCAACTATCAGAAATTTCACAACATGCCAAAGAAGAGAGGAAGGAGCAATTAAATAATCAAAATTATAAAGAATTTTAAAAATATATATAAAAATGAGGAATATCGCACTTCTAACAATCTCTGTGTGTATGTGGGCATAATTTAAAGAATCTGTGCTTCTCACATGTACAGTACAACTGTATGTGGCCTGTTCACACGTCGGAAAAGCTTCTGATTTATTCGTGTATGCATCAGACAGAAAAACAAAAAATATCTGTATCCACAAGCACTCCAATAAATAAATAGAATTGAAACGACACTTTGAAATATTTTCCCAATTAAAATGAATAATAATAATATAATACTAAGTTTCAATAAAAATGATAAAATGTAAATTTAATTTTATCATAACGAAATGAATTTCGTTTCTTCTGAGATCGCAGCAATGCGCAACGGGTAAGCTAGTGTTATATAAAGTTAAACAGTTTGAATATAATTTTTAAAATGTTTTGATTAGCTTGAATAGTTCAAAAGAAAAATGTGCTGAAACTTATATATGTTTACATTATCTTTGAAATGTGAATGATACACTATCTGCAAATTGTTTTACAAAGTATCATTAAAATAATAATTATTTTTATAAAAAAAAATAACTGTTGTTAAGGAAAAGAGAATTATTTGGGACTGAATTTTGTAGAATTGTGATATAAGTTGTACAGGTGATGACATCAACTACAGATTTACATTTGAAATAGATCAGCATTTTCAGATTGTAGTTACCCATGTACTTCATGTCTTTACAGAAACTTTGATGATAAATTGTACATGTAAAGTTTTTAAAAAAATTATAAAATACTTTATTTCTGAATAATTTTCATAAATTTTTTTCTTTAGAGAAGAAACTGAAGTTATAGAAGGAGAAGTGATAGAAATTCAAATTGATAGACCTGCTACAGCTACTGTTAAGTTTATTTTTCAAAATTTTCTTTTATTTATGAAAAAACTTTTAAAGTAAAATAATTTTTAAGTGAATTAGTTAATAGTTCATTAATAGAGATTTATGTAAATTTAGTAATTTAATATTATCTTACAATTCTAAGATATATATATTGATAGTTAATCTGCTTGTTAATTCTAAAATAGTAGTAATTACATATTGTTTAAATATTTGCAAGAAAATAAAAAATTTAAAATTATTTTTCTATTTAACAATGCAATATATTCAAAAGGTTTGTTATGAAAGTGGCTGCATAAATTACAATTGCAATCCATTTTCACATTTGAGTTTATAAATTAAGATATTAGTATATTTTTTTTTATTTAACTACAACTAAGTAAGGTTATATATTGTGTTCACTAATTATGAAATTAAATTTTTAAATTTTATTGGTATCTAATGATAAAAAAAAAATGGTATCTAATGATAAAAGTTTATTGGAATCTAATGAAAAATATTAATGATAAAAGAGACCTAGCTTCTGTTCTTCCTTTCTCATGTGAAATCAAGTCTTTTATAAAAGTTGTCTGTAATTTTTTCAAGTTAACTTTACAGATTTATTTTCTAACAACACAATATAAAAAAATCAGGCATCTGATTTTTGTCTTGCTGATCTAACCCTGGCATTGGCATTGTACTAATATATATTTATTATACAGTAGAGCATCAGTTACCCGAAACAATTTAGAACTGGGGTTGTTCAGATAAATGATTATCTACGAAAAAATATATTAACCTGTTCCATATTAAAATATTTCTTCATTGCATGTCACTTTGTGTTGAATTTTCTTTGATGTTAAGCCTAACAAAAAATTTTTTTAAATAATAATTGTGGCTATTATATCATTAAAAGTTATTTCTTTATTTTACACAAACAATATAAATAGATTGAAAAATATAAAAGCAAAAAAAATTAAAAAAAAAAACAAAATTATATTTCAAAAGTTAATCTATTATCAAAAATGTTCTGATTCAGCATGACACACTTTCCGACACAGTCCTCAGAAAAACACCACACAAAACAAGCAAAGCTCACCATTCATGATGGGAAAAAAGCCTCTTTCAAATACTAGCACATCCTTAGGTACCCTCTCATGGTCATGTCAGTGCTGCCAGCTAAAACATGCACACCAACAAAAATAATATTGGAATAGCCCAAGACATAGCCAAATATTGCAGCACCACAGCACTAGCAGAATTTGAATTTGCCCACTGGAACGCTTTTGGTTAACCAATGTTTCGGTTGATCGGTATTCGGATAATCAATACTCTACTTTATATTCTGGTAGCTTGCAGCATTTAATAATCTTTCTAGACACACTAAAGAACCTAATGAATCCCACAAGAAGTCTCTCACACCATTATAGAGCCATCACTGCCTTGATCAGATCTAAACTGACAAAATGGATCATGACTTCATATTGTCAGTGCTGTATTCATATTCTTTCATCAGCCTGGTGCGGCTCAAAATGGGATTCATTTGACCACACCACTCACCACTCTTTTGTATAGATCAAATTTTGAGGTTTCTGGCACCAGGCAAGGCACAATGTCACACACTCAGAAGTTGCACATGAGTAGGATGTCAGCTTCCTTGTGCTTCTGACCACTTGCTCACCTATGCTGTTTGGGGCTCTGGCATTCAGCCTTTAAATGATCTGCACCAGTGGTTGCATTACCAGTAACCGGTAAATTAGGAAAATTATACCCCAGTAAATTTACCGGTAATTAATTTTTTTACCAGTATTTTGGTTTAAAAAAACCTCTTAATTAACTCTATTTATTTTCCTAAAATTTTCACAGGAAATACCCATGGGAAGCAGATTTTTTTATTTCCCCATCCACCACTTGCACTGTTTTCATAGCAAGAAAAACAGTGCAGGTGGTGATAGGTCATTCCATTTGTAATTTAAGATTATTAAAAGGAATTTTCTAGTCTTTTTATAACTTGATTGCTTGTATTATTCTCCAAAAACTGATCTTGATTTAGGAGTATATACAGGAAAATAACCCAGAAAATTAAACAAATATAAGTTACACAAAATATCCAATAATGTTAACAAAATTATAATTTTGAATGGGATTGTAGAAACGATCAAGCACTTACCAGAAAATGAAAACAAATTATGACCTGCTGATGTCACTAAAATTAGTTCAGACTCAGATTCTGGTGAGAGGTGTTCATTGCTTATAACACCATCAACTTTTCACGTCGACATGAGAACAAAGTGCACAATAGAAAAGTCAAATTTATCAATGAAAGAGAAATTGGACTTATTCATTAAACATAAAACAAGCATAGATGCTGATAACAGTAATATAAGTAAGTTTAAAAGTGTGAAAGATATAGTTTAAAAAGAAATGAATTATTTCTTAGAGCAAAAAGTACAAGGAATGTATCTTAACCTGTCCTACGTTGATCCTGAAAATATTCGTGTTGACTTCATTGATCTGCGGGGGCGATCCCGAATATTTTAGTGTTTACATTGGAATGTTTTTGATACTAGATGTTGCTTCATGTCACAATTTTTATATTAAAACAAACTTTTAAAATAAAATTATTTTTTGTTCTTATATTATTCAATATATATATTTTGTTTGTGAAACATAAAAAAATAATTTTTTACAATACAGTAAACACGATTATTATTTTAAAAAAAGATTAGGCTTAACATCAACGAAAATTCAACATGGTGTCACAGGCAACAAATAAAAATTTCAACATCGAATAGGTTAAAATGGTTTTCAATGCTCTAATGACAGTACATCTAACTACTATTGATTCTGAGAGAGCTTTTTCTAATGCAGCTGCCATTTGTACAAAAATTAGATCTACATAGATTAGATGATGATAGCCTATATGTATTGTGTTTGTTAAAAGCCTACTTTCAAAATAAAGAAAAAAATAATTAATTATCAGCATTATTTCAATGTTTCTTATGTCATAATAATTGCTATTACAAGAATTGTTTGTCTAAACTGATAGAAAACTTGAAAATAAATGGTGGTCCAATAATTCTGTCAGTAATTTAGTTTCATTTTAAATCATTCGTTAATATGAATTTACCGGTAAGTTATCAATAAACCGGTAATCCCAAATTTATTTACTGAATTACTGGTAATATAATATCCGGTAAATTTGCAATCACTAATCTGCACCACCAGTCAATCAGTACTAGTTGCATGGTCTGTGCTGCTTCCATCAATGATACATGCTTGGTAGACATTTGATAAAATTGTCCTTGAGAACCTAGGGTTGTTGCTGCTTCAAAGATGGAATGATTCCATTTGTCTTCTATACTAATATTATAAAGAGGTAATGTTTGTAAGTTTGTTTGCAGTAGGTAATCTCTGAAACTACTCATCCGATTTCAAAAATTCTTTCACCAATATTTAGAATGGAACCTCAGGGTGGACATAGGCTGTATATTATTCCGTTAAACATTCATATAAATTAAAATATATAATCTAGGTTAAGGCTTTTATGTCCAACAGATGGTGCTATGAGTACGATGCCCTAAGTTTGCTTTTCTGTGAAAATGAACTAAAGCAGATCATCTTCTATGTATCTATATAAATAAAAATGTAATTCCTTTGAAATTTTGACACAACGCTGCATTCATTCGAATGCACGTTTTTTTATATAATATACATGTTGAAATATGCGCACAAATATATACAACATGCAATATACATGTTGTATATATTTATATGCGCACGTGTTTTTATATAATATACATGTTGAAATCCCCCCGGGGGGAGATGGACAGGATTAAGGCTTACCGTGAAGAACTTGGCTTCTATTATACTATTTCAGATGTGGTTTTTTTGTGTTTTTGATTGCGTTTTAATAGGGTACGTCAAGAAAGTGTACACTAAGGGATTTTTCGAAAAATCGCCCCATGGGGGAAGTGTTATACGTTTATAATAGATACATTTTGAGCCAGAACAGCGCGTGGCGAGGTCTGCTAGTCTGCCAATAAAGTGTTTATGATTAAAGTTTTAAGGCCACCACATTTATCTGTTTTCATCTATTGTAATACATTGTTGGGAAGGATAGATGTTTGCCTACCTTGAAATTGGTTTGAGTGTGTAAAACTCTGCTTGCAGAGTTCCCGCTTATATTTTTTATCACCACTTTCTCTAATATTTTGATCAGTCAATGTATATTGATGAATGTCATTATACATATATATATGTAGTAGATTCAGTTATCAGGCATACCCTCTAATGTGACTGTCTATGTCCTTCTGTTTTCATGAAATGGGATGTATAACATGACTATGTTATACATCCCATTTACCTGTTTACTCAGGTTTAATTTTATGTTTAGTATTACATTTCAGTGTATTTGAGATCAGGGCTTTGGGCTAGCCAGTCCAACTTTTTATCACCCATAACTGCAAACCATTCTATTAGAACCTGAGCAGTATGACTGGATATCCCTATGATAAGTCCCTATATTTATCTTGCTGATAAACATAGGGACTTATCTTGAAATGATGCCACAGTGACTGTAGTGAGTAATAATCCAGAATATTCAGATGTTGCTAGCATTCATGATTCCATCAATGACAACTAGTGGGCACAAGTCATACTATAAAAAGCTGCTCCAAACTTTTTTGTTAGGATAATACAGTCTGGAAGAACTGTTCTCTGACACTTGCTAAACTAATAGATTGTGAACCTTGATTCATCTGTCTGTAGAATAGCATTCCACTGATCTACAGTTCAGGATTTGTGTTTCTTGTGCCATGTCTGTTGGCATATGTAACATTTGTCACTGTGATCATTGGCTTGGAACAGTGCATGACTGTAAACTGTAGCATGAACATCCTTTATACCATACTTGTAATGACAGTTGTCCCAAAATTCTCATACAAATCTTGTGTGAGAATTCTGCACAAAACTCTCTTAGCTCTTTTGGTCAGTTTGGGAGTTTGCTGGGATATTTCTTGGCAGATACAGTCCAGTTCTCTTCATTTGTATATGACGTTACTAACTGTTAACTTTGAATGCTAAATGTGATTTGTATAGAATATTTGCAGATGTATTCTAGTATCATTTAATGTTGAAAGCTTGTTAATTCCATTGAGTACAGCATTTTGTATGCTCCCCTTTGCTGTGACCAGTTCAAAGATCAACAAATATTGCTTACCTAATACCTATTTTTCACATGTTCTGGCGCTGTCCAATTATTAATGTTAGGGTAATGTATGTACAGTACACACATAGTAGATGTAGGTAAAGTATATATGCATATGCTTTTACATACATGTGTATGTATTTGTGTAAAAGTATATGCATATATATCCAATATTTAGAATTTCGTACATTTCAAAAATTTGATATTACTATACATTTTGATGTAAGCTGAAGATGGCCAAAAGTGTTTTTACATGTAATAAAAGGTTTGACTATCTGAAAAAGTAGTTAGGATTTCTGCTTTTTAAGGATGTAACTTTTTGGTGATGCTTGTCTTTGTTCAAATTATTTCTTTTCAGTTAATGTTTCTTCATTTATTCAGTCAAACTGTTGAAAAATTTCAGATTTTTTAATAGTAATTAATAATGCTTTGAAATTATTTTAATTAAAATACTGAAATCTATATTATGAACTAATTAATTTATAAAATAATAGGGAGCAAAGATTGGCAAATTAACTTTGAAAACTACAGAAATGGAGACAATATATGATTTAGGACAGAAAATGATTGAATCATTAACTAAAGAGAAGGTACAAGCTGGGTAAGTGTAATGAATTTAATTATTATAGAGATTGAAAAACAGTATTTTGGACAAAATCCTTACATCTAAAAAGTTTCATGATTTATTTTAATTTTTATAAAGATTTATTTGTTGATCATAATTATTTAAAGGTAAACTTTTTGATTATTTCATTAATTGAAAAGCTATTAAAAGTAGGTTATCATCTTATTAAATAATACTAGAAATGAGATGGTATAAAATGATTCTGCCAAAATGATCTGATACCAATAATTTTCCAACTGATCTAATCCAATCTGACACTTGCTTCTATTCATATTCTACAAGTGTTAGCAATAAATGAAAGCCTGAAAACTCATTTGTTTACAGAATGCTCAGTAACCATTTAAATTCAAATATAAAGAAATAAAGTTTACAAATTGATTTACTTTCTGATCCAAGACCTGGGCAATTGCAATTGTCTAGTTTGCTCTGCTTATAAGAAAACATTTAAATACACCTTGCATAAATTTATAAGGTTGTTTGGAAAGTAAGTTTGTTTTTTTACCACTAGACTGATTAGTCGTATTTTTCCTGCCATTTTCATTCTAAACTATATTATCATTATATATTTTGACAGCTAGCATTTTAAGGCTTATTTGTAAAAAAGTTTGTTTGATTCTGTGCAATTGTTTATTTTTTGTGTCCCATCAAATATAGAAGATTGAAAGCATCATTTTCAGCATATTTTGCTTTTTTATTACCAAAAAATCAAAATGCTGTTCAAGCAAGAAAAAAATTGTGGTACATGTATGGAGATGATGTGTTGAGAGAAAGACAGTGCCAAAACTGGTTTACAAAATTTTGTTCTGGCAATTTCAATATTGAATATGCACCACATTCTGGATGGCCAGTTGAAGCCAATGAAAACAAAATAAAGGTACTGATCGAAGCAAACTGCCAAATAACAACATGTGAAATCACTAAGAGATTAAATTTGTCAAATTGAACCGTTTATGATTACTTGAAGCAAATTGGTTTCATTTCAAAGCTCTATATATGGGTTCCACATGTTCTTAAAGAGAGATGCTCTCTTTGGTGGGATTTTAATGAAATTTTTTTGGAGCTTTTACCAGACAATTTAACAATTGATTTGAAAGTGTACTGCCATTGAGTAAACAAATTGAGTAATATCATCAAATAGAAAATGCTGCCAGAATTGATCAACAAAACAGGTTCTTTGTTTTACCACGATAATGTCAAATTTCACACAAGTTTGGTAACTGGTCAGAAACTGTTATAACTTAGATGGGATTTGCTATCACACCAACCATATTTGTCAGATTGAGCACACTCAGATTATTACTTGTTCCGGTCTATACAAATTTTTTTTAACTGTAAGACATTTACTTGAAATGACAATGTCAAAAATCACTTGGATCAGTTTTTTGTAAGCAAC